CACATAGGTCTATTTCCCCATCCTCATATATAAATATATCTGCCTATGTACTTGTCTTCATCTAGACCTCTAGAGATTTACTTTGCATTCATGAATGTATGGAAACTATGAGTCAAGAAATACTCTTGAATATTTTGTCAGAGAAACAGCCAACAGCTTCTGAATGTCTATCCCTGCAGGAAACTCTAACACTCACTGAAACACCTTATCTTACTGTCAAAACTGGGAATCTTTCAGAATTCTTTTCCAGCTTCATCTTTTAAAATCCAGACCCATCTTATATAGTCTGGACTCGACTTACACATAAGTTAGACTGTACAATCAGTTTTGAGTTTAAATGTACTTGTTTCTAAACATTTTCAGTAGTTCTCAGAATGAGTTTAGCTCTGAAAAGCTGAAGGGGATCCAAATAGTTCCCAGACAACTGTACTGTACATACTTATTCATAGCACAAAGTCTGGGTTTCATAGACATTGTATATACCCAGGTTCTTCTGAGCGTCATGAGCCATAGGCCCAAACCAGTTATCTTAAGTAGCTTTCAAACATATGCATGACATGATTGTGTTGGCTTTCCAATATTGGGCATTGTAAAACCCAAAATGTGTAGCCAGAAAAACCATGTAATGCCTAAAAGTGATATTCCAGATCTTGAGAGAAATGTCATGTGTCACCTTATCTTTCATTTCTCCTCCTTCTGCTGCTTCTTCTCCTCCTTCTGCTGCTTCTCCTCCTCCATCCGCTGATGTTCTACAGAAGCAGTTGTTTTTGAGAATGAGCTTTGTATTTATCCCAAAGGCATTTCTATCTTCATTTTAGCTATCTGGAAGACAGCTATGTGGAAGATCATTGAACGCTGGGTTGCTAGTTCATTCTCTTTTAGGAACCTACATTTTAAGGAGAATTCATTCATATCTGGTGTTGACTAACTTCTACCTGATTCTTTCCAACTCCTTTCCTATCTCAAATCCAAACTGGCTTTCATGGGAGTGCGGGGAGGGAGCACAAGAACTGATTGTGATTAAGCAACTCATTTTCAAGGCGATTTCACCAATGGGGGTGGTGGTGATGTTCTCAAATTGATTATGTTAATGATTGTACAGTTCTTCTTGATATGATTGAGCTATTGAATTGTATGAGATGTGGATTATGTGCCCAAAAAACTATAAAAACAAAAATGGCTTTCATTCGACTAAAGGTGGCACCAGTTAAGCAACAGAGAGAGGTACAGGATAAATGTTTAAAAACTCAGTTTTCTCTCTGGTCTTCTCGATTTATCTTTGTGCATTTTAGAATCTAGCTTATGGTTAAAATATTTAAAACTTAACAGTTAGGGCAGGAAAGCATAGCCTTGTTTTTTTGTTTTTTGTTTTTTCCCTTAAGAAAATTCTAAATTGAGTATTTTAGACAAGCAGCCAATAACTCTCATCTGGTTTATAAGTAGCAGGAGAGCCAAAGCTTTGAAATGGAATTTTCTGTGACAGCCTACAATAACAGTTACCATATGCCTAAAGTTACAAGCAAAGCAAGAGCCTAGTAAAGTCAAGCAGGGGAGTCAGGAAGGCTGTTAAGTTAGCATATAAAATTTTTTGTCCAGACTTCTTAGGAAAAAATGTTAAGTATTTTAGGAACAATACCATCCCAGTCATTTGAAAAAGAATTACATTGCTCAATATTAGAAGAAAATAAAGAGTGACATTACCAGCCACAAATCACAGCTATGATAAATCTGTTTGGTAATCCAAAACCAAGAAGAAGAAGAAAATGCAAATACAAGTTAAATGCTAGTATAAATGAACAAATCACGCACATACCTCGATTATTTCATAGCATCTAAAAATTGTTTCCCTCTGGCAGTTAACGTTTCCTCTCGAAGTCTCCCTAGTTAAAATACCTCCTTTTCTGTGTTTCTCAGACATTTCGTGATCAGGATGCTCGACATTCTTGCTAATCGAAAAATCACTCCCTTAGAAGTCTGTGAATTTGCCTGCTTTGCACCCACTGCGATTTTGCATTTCGGCAAGTTCTCCTATTGTTGTGGTTCTCCTGACTGTTACTGGGATCTTGATTTTACCTCTACTTAGAGTGAGAGTCAACTAGGAGGAACTGAGAAGCTTGATTGATGTACTCCTAAATGAACCAGCAGGGACCCGGTGGCACAGTGCTTCCGAGGCTAACCACAAAACAAAACCAAGAAAAGGCGAGCCGTTTGAGTCCACTGGCCTCCCTGAGGGAGAAAGTTGTGAGTCTGCTTCAATCAAGATGGTCATCTTGGAAACCTTCCCCGGGACGTCTACTCTGTGTTGCCAGGCCCCAAGGAGTCGGGATCGCCTCCTTGGGAACAAGTTTGGTTTGGGATGAATCATGTCATAATACTTCCTCTTGTGGCCAGTCTGAACATCTTTTGACTATCATGAATCTTAGAGTTCCTCTACAATGGTTCTGATGGTGACAATTTTACTTATCTTATAGAGTTAAAAGTGACATGAAATAAATGTCAAAGTATTTCCAATGTTAGTAGTGAAGGGGTGCTAGTGCTGTCTGTCAGTGGTGGGTACCATGGCGGTGGTTCCACATCACAGTGACACTGTGTCCAGTTGAATGAACACATTGTCCCCGCCATTGTGGCTACGCTTGAGCCCATGGGCGCAGCCACTGCCAATCACTTTCTTTGAGGGTCTTCCTCATTTTCACTGATCTTCTCCTTTACTGTCTCCATGGACTGGTCTCTCCTGATACTTTGTCTAAAGTAGCTAAGAGTCAGCCTAGCCATCCTCCCTTCTAGTGAGTGTTCTGACTGTACTTCTTCCAAGACAGCTTGGCTTGTTCTTCTGGTAGTCCATGGTATGCTCGTTATCTTTCACCAACCAGAAACAGGAGCGGTGATGGCATTTCAAAGGGAATACAACTCCCACCGCTAGCCAGTAAAATCAGCTCTACTTCGTAGGTAAGCTGCTACTTCTGGATGCCCTGCTTACTGCCATGTTAGGTGAGGTTGCCTGGAATTCAATGGCTTTGCCACTGTGATTTTTTTATTCCATTTTTCCTTTAAACTAGACTGTTCCCTAGGTTTTTAGGTCAATGGCAAACATGGATGTAGGGTTTTATTAAAACAGAAATTCTATTGAATGCTTTTAAAGCATGGATTAGTAAAATGAACCCGAACAGTGAATATACACAATAACGTATATTTCTCTCAGTTCTAACACTATCCAAAGCAGTGTCAATTGTTTGGAAGAAACCTATTTACATTCTTCTTTTCAATGTTTTAGAAGCAAGGATAACGCGGTTGATAGTCGCTCACTAGTTAAAAATCACTTTAGCCAATTAGTAAGTGGAATTGTGGGTTTAACTTTGAGCCTGTTTCTGATCAGGGCTGTGATACTGGCCACAGTGAGGAGACCCTTTGAGGTGGACTTAGTTTTATCCGTTTTTGATTTATGGTCCTCAATTGCAAACCTTCATCTCTCTCAAGTTCCCAATATTTGGGAGGGAAGCCACATCACTCCCAACGCCTCCAAATTTTCAGCTAGCTAGGGGGAAAGTGGGATTCTCAGAGAAATCACAGGACGGCCAGGCCACGGGAGGTAAACACAAGGCGAAAGTAACACGCTTTTACTGTCATCAGATCTCTCCGGGCTGTTTACACCTTGGATCCCGTTCAGCCCTCACGGAGGTTAATTTTAGTTGGACAGGACACAGAGGTCGACTGCTGTCTTTGCTGTAATTGTCCCCGCAGAGCTGATGCGGGTCTTACCTTGTTGATCTGCGCTTTCTCGGACAGAAGGACGCACCGCTTGTCCCCAGAGAGGTCTTCGGGACAGCTCTTTGCCTGGGTGCTGGTGGGTGAGCTTGGGGCAGCCTCGGGGGCAGCAGCTGGGAGCTTCCTTGTCCCTCTGAGCGTCAGGGTCTGGTAGAAGACACAGATGGCCACCACTAAGCCCACCAAGAAGGGCCGGGGGCAAAATCGCCGACGCCAACGGAGCCCTAGGCGACAGACCATGACCAGTCCAGCTTCACTTGGCCCCTGTCCACGTCGCACGAAAAGTCATAGCAGTGTTTCTTTTTTTCGTTGTCAGCATGAAAAGTACAACTCTTTCTTCCTCTCCGACTCCCACAAACTTCAATCAAGTTTGCACCATCCTTTCTGCAGAAATTCCCGAAGGTTCACTGCCAAGTCCGGGTTCCCCAAGCCTGAGGCCATTAGCGAGAGCCGGGCGTGGATGGCAGTAGAGGGTGGCTAGCCTGGGGAGACAGAAAAAACAGCATCAAAATAATAGTCCTTGCCACTGAAATCAGAGGGTGCCCCAGGCGGCCAAGCCGGCCTCCCCACCCGCCGCGGAGGGGCGGCCCCGCGGGCCACCGCAGCCGAGGAGAAGCCCCCGCGGGACAGTCCGTCTGGAGCCTGCGGAGCGCGCAGAGGACGCAATGGTGTCCAGCCCCGATCCAGTGGCTGGAGGCCGGCCAGTGGCCCGGGCAGTGCCTCGCCTCCCTCCGGGCCCTCCAGCAGCCCGGCGCCCAGCCCTTTAAATTGCTTTCTAACGGTCTCCCTCCACGCCGTTTTCAAAACTGCTACTTTCCAGTAAGGATTCGTGCCTTTTCACATAAAAAAAGGGCGGGGGTGGGGGCGGGGGCGAGCCCGCGGGGGTGAATGGGTACCGTCATCCCTAGGGCTTTGCCCCATGCCACTGCGAAAGGACAAAGTTCTGTGTACTTACTCGCTTTGCATCCATCTAGCCCGAAAAAAAGTTTCCAGGATCCCTCGGGGACGACTGGGGAAACCCGCCCCGCAGGACACACGCAGCTGTAGGACTGCACCCCATCGCGCGTGCACACACGCGCACACACGCGCGCACACACACGCACACACGCACAGCCGACCCCCACATCTGCCCCCACCCCACTTAGGAAGTCCCTTCTGTGATCTGCCTTCCCTCTCCCCTGCGGCAGGGATCTGGCACCCCTTTGTCACCAAGGCTCC